AAATCGGAGGAAATCTTAACTTCCATGGCGAAATCAAATTCATTTTAGGTTAGTGTGGAAATGGAAAGTGAAAATGATTGAACTCTCGCCTCGGGCTCAAGTTTGGGAAACTGGTAGGGGGGTTTGAAGGGGACAATGGAGGGAGGGACAAGCATCATTGCTAGTGCTATGGAAAAAAGGATTGCAAATAAATAAGAATGATGTCGTTAAAATGTATTTTCCTCAACAAAAGAATTTTGATGAATTTATGTAAAAAACTTGATTGATGGTACTGCTTGGGAGTTTGTCCTGAGAGACAAAACAACGTGAAAAGCTTGTAATAGTTACAGAAACTAATGACATTCAAAGATGAAACTCTGCTTCCATCTGTCAATCTCTCTTCCAGTGAAGTTTAACAATTAACCACCACTGCCTGATACTCTCTACCGTCAGCTAGTAGTTTGTAATAACGTCTGAAATCTGTGCCATGCTGTGCCTGAAGTTGAGCTGTAATTAACGTGGATCTACTGCAGCTTCCTTGTGGTCTTCTTCATCCATGAGTCGAACAAAACTTGACCTGCAGGCACTAAACTTCTTCCTGTGGGTATCGAACCGAGAAAAAATAAATGCTTGAAAAGAGAACCAACAGATGATGTGTACCAAGTGAAAGAAAGATGAGTGAACCACAGAGCTTACCCAGATCTAAAAGTGGGCAGATCAAACCACTGGAGTCTCCGATGCAATGGTTATCAGCACAAGTTTCGGGGTTGGGATCCTGACGGGCATTTCAAAGTTCAAACATCCCTCTCTGAGGAAACTCCTTCCGTTTGCTTCTCACTATGATGCTGTAACCAGAACGAAATCACAATGTTGGCCGAAGTGCATTAAGAAGTCAAATCCATCTGAAGGAGCCAAAAGCTAAGCGAATGATAACAACTGAATTCTGGAATTGGTAAGTTAAATGATTTTCAGGACCATAACCAACAAATATGTTTATGGTCAGTTATATTGTGTTTTACACCTGGTTGTTTATGATGTCAATCAATTGCTTCAGGTAGACCCTTTCTACAAGTCATAGTACCATCTTCCAGTCATTGAGAAGCTGCTCTTCTTCTTTGTAAGCAGGTGGGCACGTAGTGAAGAAGGACTGACCTTTCTCATTCTTCATCATCACCAAAAAAATCAAGCTGAACAACATAATCATTTTCTCTCATCAGCGGTGTCAAATCTTTCAAAACTGCATCGATTTCTGATGCGCTATGATGAGATTTGTCTCCTGCCACAAACTTGTTCGTCTCCTGTCCAACTACAATCCAGCTACACCCAGGCAACTTCTTCACTCCTTTTTCTCTCATTTCCCTCCTCAAAGTATTGACCTCATCCCAGTTTCCTGATGCGGCATAAATGTTAGAAAGCAGTACATAGGGTGAAGAGTTTTGTGGTTCAAGCTCAATGAGTTTTTCAGCAGCTTGTTGGCCCCTGATGTCATCTCCATGTATTCTGCAGGCCCCGAGCATTGTAGCCCAAACCTTAGCATCAGGTTCAAAATTAAGTTTGTTAATGAACTCTTCAGCTTCTTTTAGAGAACCCCATCTGCCTAGAAGATCAACCATGCAGGCACAATGATCTGCTCTAGGCTGCATCCCATATAAGTTAACCATCATGTCAAAAATCAGACGCCCTTCGGATACCCTCCCTGAATGACTACACGCAGTGAGGACACCAAGAAAAGTGACATCATCTGGTGTAACATGTGATTGTTTCATCTCATCGAATACTCTTAGTGCATCTTCTGCATACCCATTTTTAGCAAATCCAACTATCATTGAGTTCCAAGAAATAACGTCATTTTTCCTGCTCATTTCGTTAAAAACTTGCATGGAGCTCTTCACATCCCCACATTTGGCATACATATCTACAAGGGCACTACTCGTCAACTCATCTGAGTCAAATCCAGTATGGAAAATCAGAGAATGAGTCTCCCTACCATCTTTTATAGAAGATACGACAGCACATGCTCTGAGGGCACTAACAAATGTAGCTTGGTCAGGTAACACATTGCAGCTGCGCATTTCTTTATAGAGTTGTAAAGCCCCCACACTGCAATCATTTTGACTAAGTCCTGAAATCATAGCAGTCCACACTACAGCACTCTTTGGATTTGAAAACTCTGAGAAGAGAACACTTGCATCTGTTGTTCTCAGGGAGTTCATGTACATGCCTAAGAGAGAGACACCCAAGAATTCATCATCAAGCTGAAGTCCCATCTTTAAAATAAGACAGTGGATTTGCCTTCCTAGATTCAACTTCTGTTGCTCATGACATGCATCTAAAAGGCTTGCAAATGTTATTTCAGTAGAGTTTATTCCTTCAACTAGCATATCTCGAAACAGATTTACTGCCTGTTCCAAATTAATTTGAGCATATCCTGCAATCAGTGCATTCATGGAGACCACACTTCGCTCAGGCATGCAAGCAAGAATTTTGTGTGCAGAATCAATAGCCCCACACTTGGCATACATGTCGATGAGGGAACTTCCACTGTAAAGCTTTGTTTCTTGACCAGTTTTGACTGAAAGACAATGCACCTGTTTCCCTTGCTCAAGGCCTCTAACGCTTGCACAGGCACTCAATATACTGGCCAGAGACACTTCATCAGGCAGAATCCCGAGCAAATTCATTCTTCGAAACAAATGGAATGCCTCAACTTCATCTTCTTCTTGCACATATCCAACAATAATTACATTCCAAGAAACATTGTCTCTATTCCTTATCAGCTCAAATTGTTGCCTTGCATCCTCAAGAGCACCAGATTTAGCATACATATCTACCAAAGCATTTCCAACAAACAAGTTGGATGCAAATTTGTTCTTGATAATAACTGAATGCAATTGACGGCCCAAATCTAAATATTTTAAGCAAGCACAGGCACTCAGAATGCTGCTATAGGTAAAATCATCCGGGTAAAAACCACAGCTCTTCATATTAAAAAACAATTCCACGACTTCATTGGCATATCCATTCTGCACATATCCTCCAAGCATTGCATTCCACAACACTACGTTTTGCTCATTTAAAGTTTCAAAAACTTTCTTTGCTGCTTCCATCTTCCCACACTTAGCATACATACTAACCAGTGAACTTCCAACATAAACATTTGAGTGTAACCCCTGTTTAAGTGCCTCAGCATGAACTAGCAAGCCAAAGTCAAGAGCCGCTAAACTTGCAATAGCACTCAATACACTTCCCAACGTGGATCTCGTGGATTTAACACCAGCTTTCCGCATATTTTGGAAAAACTCAATCGCTTCCACCCCATAACCTCCTTTGGCATGACCTGAAATCATCAAATTCCAAGCCACAACATTCCGGTTAGGCATCCTGGAAAACAAATCAGATGCATTGTCTAGCCTTCCTAAATCAACATATGCATTTATGACAGTCACAAATGCTACCTGGTCTGGTTCCTGTCCAACTTTCTCCATCTCCTGGAACACTTTCACTGCCTCCTCAGGCAGACCAGCTTTAATATACCCACCAATCATCGATGTCCGAGAAAATTTATCCAATTCTACTGCTCCATCAAATATGCTTCGAGCATCAGTTAAAAAATTACATTTGGCATACATACCAATTAAAGCACCCTCACAATAAGAAATTGACTCAAACCCCATCTTAACAACATTACAATGAACTTGCCTACCACACTTTACCATCTCCAATCTTGCACAAGATGATAAAACAATAGCAAATGTGAACTCATTTGGCCACACACCAGAATTCCACAACAACCCAAAATACTTAACAACCAAGTATGGAAATCCCTGTTTTGAATGCATAGATAGAATTGAGTTCCAGGCCAATATATCTTTATTCTCAAGCTGTTTGAATGCCCTCTCCGCATAGTCCACATCAGCACACTTGGCATAAAGGTCAACGATTACATTGCCTAGAACCCCTTTTGACCAGAAACCAAGTTTGAGGCTCTGGGCATGGATAATTTTATTGGTGGTTGAAAATTGAGATAATCTTTGAGGTATTTCATCAAACAGGCTGTGGGTTTTGACTTGCTTGCTTTTTTGCAGACAGGTCTGCAAGATATGTGTGTGTATCCGAGGTGTAACGGTATGAAAGTGGTGATTTGACCCGTTTGGAATATCTGAGAATGTGAGTTGGTGATGGAAGGAGTGTAGGTTTGAGGAGGGTGAGGTTTTCAAGAGGAAGAATTTGCGAAGCATTGAACGAGGAGGGATGAGTCCAACATGACTCTGCAAAACAGAACTAGTTGAAGCGAAAGGAGAGAATAAAGATATTGATAATTGTTTACTGAAAGAATTCCATCCCTGGACCTCTGGAAGAATTATTCATCTTTGATACAGATTTTGATGCTGTCTGGCGGCAAAACTTCTGATTATTGCTTTTAAAAGGGTGAAGAAATATCGTCTTTTGCAAACGACGTCGTTACATTTGTTTAGCTAATTGTTTTTGCAGTTGAAATCTTTATATATATTAGTATATATTGATGTTAGAAATAAATTTTTTAAAAAATATTTTTATATATTTTTAAAAACAAGAATATTAAATGAGCTTAAAATTTAATTAAAAAACTTGTTCTAGCCATCCATCCAAGTTGTAACATCAATTGAGTATATATTTAAAAATTGAGTATATATTTAAAAAATAAGTAAGTATTAAAATATTTATTAGCAATAAGTTAATTTTAAAATATAGATTAGTTGATCAAATTTTAAATTTATTTTTTTAATAATTATAAGTTCAATTTTAAAACTTATATAATTATTAATTTTAAAATTTATAAAATTAATTAAAATAAACAAAAATTAATTTGAATACTCATGTTAATAAAAAATAAAAAATAAACCAATTACGAAGGTGGAGAGGCACTATTCGGAAGAGGTTGCATCTTACGCAGTAAAATTGAAGAGCTGGGAGGGATGGTGGGGGCCTCAAAGCAACAATAGTCTATGCATTATGCACAATTAATTAACCTCACTGCGAGACGCTCAAGCAGATAAAAATGCCTTATAGCAACACCACTTGACTCTCAATTTGTCACTACAATTTCTCATAAAATCACTTTATGTCAATACATTGAACTTTGTACCATCTACATAAATTGTAAGTATGAGATAGTGGATTGACCAATCACAAAGAGGGGAGAGATGTAGTTGTAACAGCTGGCGGTGATGGAGTAACAGTTGCATTATCTGTCCAATTCTTTTCACCCCAATGCCATAGCATGCTCTCCCAGAAGCAGAAATTCTCGTAGCAGGTTTCCAAGCGTTTGTCTTTTATCTTAATCTTCCAATGACCATCAGTGTAATTGGCTTTCTCGGCTTGCCTCCGATCCCACTCTAACGCTGCCTTTTGCTTGGACCTAAGCAAGCAGTACTTGTGCAAGTTCCCTGGCATGGCATCATGCACCTTCCACCATGTTTTGTGAGCAACATCACTAGCAAACTCCTGCAAAATGTCCACATTCCAGTTGCAATCATAATCTCGGAAACATATCCATGGTTTATTGCCCAGATAGTGGAGAACGTAAAGGATTGGCGGATCAGCTCCAAAGAGTCGAGTTTTCATCTGTTTCTTCTCCTCCTCGTCACCTTCCCAAAAGTGTTTCAAGAAGTTCATGTGTTTAGGAATCCGGTGCCACCACGTGAAGATTTCATTTAGATATCCCTGGTCCCCGCCATTGTAGGACTCAATCTCATTGATATGATCCATTAACAGCTGGAATGTACAATTTGATGGTTCAACCACCATCACACCAGAGTTGAACAGGGTAGCATTGTTTCCTGTAGCAGATATTTCTGGCATCTCAAACAAGAAATCGATATTTCTAAGTATGAGCATGTCAGCATCAATGAAGATGATCTTGTCATAATCTGTCAATTGCCAAAGACGAAATTTACTGTAGTTCCATTCATTGTAAGCATCTCGTTCAGCTTTTGGGTTCCTGATTCTTTGGATTGTATGGATTTTCCAACCTGCAGCTGTTAAGCCTTCCCTATGATAGTCAGTAATTGTTTCATCAACAAGTATCACAAGATCCCGTGTTGAACCTGCCATGCGGATACTCTGAGCTGCAGCAATGGCCCCACAAACATAAAAGTGTGCAGAATGCAGAATCGTTGCATATGCTTCCCGGTGTGCTCTTTCTGAGTAAAAATGTTCTGTTGAAAAACATTCAGTGAATTTCAATTTAAGATTTTGCATTAGCTTTGCAGTGAGAAAGCCAATGCAATCTTTTTCGTAAATTACACAGATAGTTAGGGTAACAAATTAGAAAAAGTCAATTCCTTGCCTTGATCCCTTGGCAGTTAAAACTTACAGATCCAAACCCTAAAGATGTCATGCTAAGTCATATTTTTTCATTTATTTTTAAGTTTCGATGCACCGGTTTCCCAGTACTGCCAGACAGATATGAATGGGTATTGCAGTTGACCAAAAATTTAACTAACTCAACCAGGGCTAGTTTTCACCATAACTTAAAAGATTTTTGTGGGCTACAGAGATAAAACGAGAGAAATTAGACAAGCTGCTTTCCAAAGCCCCACTAGCTAACATGGAATAAAAGAAATAGACAGTATTGATTTTTTTAATGCAAATCTTAAAGACTGACCTTTAGCCTTGAGAGGAACTGAAAGTTCACATGACCCTACTGGGAGTTGTATCTTTTCTCTCAACACATTGAGGTTGGGTTGATACATCCATAAATTCCCTTCATGCCAAATAAGCTCCTTGCAAGTGAAAAGATTTGGGGTCGGGAAGCAGTCAGTCACCAAAAGCACACGCACAGGATGATAACTTTTAGCAGAAGCAGCAAGATTTGCAGCCGCAAGCTGCAAGTGCAAACGAGCCACATCTCTTGACCATTTCCCTGACTTGTTGCATGGAAGCTTCACGGCAATTATATCAATGCGTGGCTTGCCAGGAACTTTAAGTTTGGGCAGAACAGGACAAGTGGGAACCTCAAATTCTTCCTCTTCATCTATCCATTCAGGGTAAAGGGATTCCCAAGTTACATCTTCCGCTACATGCTCTAGATGCAGAACAACGTGCTCAACATCCAGTAACATCAGCTTCCAATTATTAATCTCACTTTCATTGAAGTTTAACAAGCCAATTCCCTGATACTCATTGCTGTCATCTAGTTTAACAATAATATCAGAAATCTGGTCCCAGTTAACGTCTAAATTAGAGATATAGCGTGGATCCATGGCAGCACCATCTCTTGTCCATCGATCAACAAAACTTGGCCTGCATACATTAAAACTCTCTTTCAGGATATTGCAAAGAAAAAAAATAATGGGTCTGTGCCTTTTAGCAAAGTTTAAAGAGGCTTTCAAGCTTTTTAAAAAGGATAGCCGAGTGTGTCTGTGCATTTTTTAACTCTGAGAACAGCTCTAACCTGCCATACTACTTATCCACTTGAAACAAGGACAAGTTCAGGATGAGAAACTAACATAATACCAAACAGAAAAATGAGGAAGGTTTGATTTGGAAGTTCTATGCTGGGAACTAAACTAAAAACTAGAAATGAAACAATCTTAAGAGAAAAATAAGACCTGATAGATAATTGAAAGTAGACAATAAACATACCGAGATCCAGAAGTGGATGGCTGGTCTGCAATATAAACTACTGGAGAATGATAGAATGTCACCAAGGTTCCAAAAGCAATTATTAAGAGCACAACTTTCAGTGTAGATATTTTGCAGTTCAAATTCTTATATTGGATGGGAACCTGGAAGGCCTTCTCAACATCTCTAAGATCCCTACCTCTTAAGAACCTCCTTCTGCTTGCATCTTCACTGTACCAAGAAAGCATTCACATGAACATTGGTCCAAGTACATAATTATATAATAAATCGAGACACACACACACACACACAGAAGGATAAAGATGGCCCTAGCAGGACAAACAAATAAAAAAGAAGAAGAAAAACACATTCGGTAGTTAGCAACCCAATGGAAGGAACTATCAACTACGAGGATCTTAAACATTTTTCGATGTTATTTTCGAGCATTGGCATTTCAGATAATAAAAAGGTGAGACCACCATCCAAAAAATTATAATAGAATGGTGTCAAAGACGCAAGCAAGTAGAACATTACCAGCCCAAATCCTCTCCTCTGCTTCCACTATATGGGTCAAAATCAATACCAAGCCAATACTGAAAACCCAATTCGACAAAGCATGCAAAGACCAGGAATAAATCACCAAAGAAAAAGGAAATAAACAAAAACAAAAACAAAAGCATATCATACCATAAACAAGTAGATCTCAGCGGTAGTTGATAGTGAAACAAATGGAATGCTAACTAGTGTAAAACATGCTTAATCAGTAATCAAAAAGCTGATTTATTATTAAGTGAAACCACCGATCAATCAGATTATAGAGACAGCGAGTGATTAAAAAAGAGAAGTAAAACGAGAGAGAGAGAGAGAGAGACTGACTTAAAAGCAGAGGGTCGGTGTCTGGGCTCTGCAGAACTAGAACTAGGGGAGGTCACTCCGACTCCTCTCATCTTTTCTTCTTCCGCTTCAGTTACAGGGAGGCAGTCACAATCTATCTCACTTAAAAGACATTAACAAGGAAAAATAAAAGACTCTATTAGGAAAACACGGATTCGTTTCAGGAAACAGCTGTCAGTGTGAGCATTGACTGTAATTGGAGATTGTATTAACTATGTTTAATGGTTAGTTTAAGTAGCTACACCACACAGCGACTATTGATCCATGCTGCTGCTTAGTGTATTATTGCGAGGGAGATGGTCTCTCCCCGTCTTGTGAAGTGAGTGAGACAGGCCGAGACAAAGTCAATGTAAGAACCCCTTTCCCGATGGAAATGGGGCGAGGTTTTTATTTTCGTTTCCTAGTTTGCCTCTCTTTCTCATCCCTATTTTACTCAATTTTTTTGTCTTTTTTTTTTTTTCTATCCTCGGTGATGTCGAAAGAGCTATTATCAAAACTAATTTCATTTAATTTTTAAACAATTAAAAAATATTTTAAAAAATTCAATGATTTAAATTTTAAATTAAAAATTTCAATCAAATTTTTCTCTATTTATTCATAAATTTTTATTTTTATTTTACAAAGTCATAGATTTTTTTTGTCAATAACATGATTTTTATAATAAAATTTTACGGTAATTAAAATAAAAATTCATAACAATTTAAATGTGTCGTAAGTATGAGGTTAAGTCCCGCAACAAGCACAACCCTCATATTTAGTTGTCATCATTAAGTTTGGAATCTTAAACAGATTACTAGTGATAAGTTAGAGAAAAATGGGGATGGCGTTAAGTCATCATGCTCCTTATATCCTGGGCAAAACACGAGCTACAATGACCGGGACAAAAGATTGTAATCTTGTAAGGATAAGCTAACTTTAAAAACTTGTTCTTAATTTGGATTGCAGTCTACAACTCCCTTGTATAAAGCTGGAAAACTTTACAACATTACAAAGAATTTCAAGATATTATAATTATTCTTGGGTTGGATTAATTATCTGAAGAGAAATGCTTAACTATAGCAAGAACATGAAAAAATGAGCGTTTTTTATCATGATCTTTTTTTGTAATTGAAGTATTTATTGATTTCCCGAGAAAATATATTGATATAGCATAAATAATTAATTAGAATAGCATGATGAGGCAATTAATCCTATTAATAATAATTTTAATAATTATAGAGAGATTTTTGCATGAATATGGTGGTGATACTTTGATCATCCAAAAGAGTTTATTAGCTTCCAAGGGTGATTTAAGGTGAAGATTGGTAACGAATCAACATTTTTTATTTAGTCTATACCATTAAAAATAAGATATACAACCTAATAATTGACAATCAAAACTATGAAAATATAGTATTTATGGAGATAATGAAGAAACTCCAAATCAAGATAAAAAAAAAACATTTTAAACCCTACAAGTTGATTTGAATGAACAAAGATACTGAGATAATCATGAATAAATAATATGTTGCATCATTTTTTATGAGAAGAAAAAATATAATGATAGTAATTTGGATGACATGATGTTAATGGATACATGTCACATATTGTTAGGTGCATATTATTAGGTAGACTTTGAAAATATAACGGATGTGATGTAAATAATAGATGGTATGACATATATACTCTCAACATAAAAGGAAACTACGTGGTGTAAACACCAATGAGGAAAGGGTTAATTACTGAAATTGATTCAAATAAGCGTATAATATTATCGTTGTTACATTTCATAAGAATACTAAGAATCAAAAGATGGTATATATTTTAATCCCCGATAATAATGTTGTAAAGGAGGGAGGAGGCTAAGATAGTCTTAGAAAATTTAAGGATGTTAAAACAATTGCTTTAAGGATTCCCACACAACAAATATCTATTACCAAATCATTGGTTCTAGCTTATTGAATAGACCATCATCCAACCTCGAACCCAAAAAGGCTGAACAATTGCAGTGTTAGGTGGTAAAGTTAAGGTATATTTTTGCAATTATTTTTTTAATAAACCAATGAACGGTGCTATTCAATTTTATTATTATTTTTTTTTAATGAGAAACTCTCGCTTACCAACTTTTTAGTTGGTGAACCACTGTTTTTATAATTAAAAAATAATTATGCTTTCCAACCACTATTTGTGTTTTTTTGGACTGATGAATTTTAAAGAAAAATTTTATTTATTTATTTTTTTGTCGTCCCCTAAGGATTAGAAACCTGAATAATATAAGGACTGTACGTATTTACCAATCATATTAAATAATTTAAAAATTAATTGTTTAAGAATAATGAGGGAGAAAAAGAAAACAAAACTAATGGAGTGATAAAATAAAAAAAACATGACGAGCTTTCTTGCTTTTGGTGTAAAAAAATCACAATTTTATCCCAAATATATAATTAATTCGATACAAATTGTTAACTTATTATGAAAGCTTATTAAGCTCATTCGTCGACCAATCATCAAAATTGATTTTTGACGGCTTGCAGCCCCCTCCCAGTCATGATGACGTGGAGCATCGATAAAGTGCATCTTCATTTTTTCATGAATTTTCCGGTAAAAAAATAATGTGTGATTTGATTTTCACCAGCACAATATTTTTTGGATTTTTTTTTAAGTGGAAAAAAATCGTACAATCGTTATAAAAATAAATCCAAAACACCTTTCAAATGGGCCCTGAAAGAACCGTGATACATTTTCCGACGGCCTATTCTAAACCCCGTTCAATTAAAAAAACCATGCCGTTATAACTTTTTATTTACTTTGGGTTGTTTTTTTTTACATTTTAAAAGTATTTTTAAAAAAATTTAACATTTTATATTTATTTAAAATTAATATATTTTTAGTATTTTTAAATTATTTTGATGTGATAATGTCAAAAATAATATTTAAAAAAATAAAAAAAATCATTAACATGTATTTTGACATGAAAAATTATTTGAAGATCAACCATAACAACACTCTCAAATAAATAACTTGGAAACGAAAATTAAATTGTGTTTTTTTATTTTAATTTTTTATTAAAAATTATTTTTTATTTTTATAAATCGTTTTGATATATTGATCTCAAAAATAATTTTTTTTAAAAAAAATATTTTAATATATTTACGAGTGAAAAACACTTTAAACTGTAACCGTTACCACAATCACAAACAATCCATGAAATAAATTAATTTATTGGCTCTAATTAAGAGCATGAAGATTATTATTTTTATTGTAATGTTATTAAATTTGGGTGAAAAAATAAATTTTAAAATCTTTCATCTTGTATCTTTGCCTAACATAGTTTCCAATTAAAATCTTATAAGAGTTAACATAAAAGCATGGAGCTGCTAAAAAAATGATATTTTTTTAAAAATATATAAAAATGATAATATATCAAATAACTCCGATCACATAAGACTTGATTCATAAACTTAGCTATGTTTAATAACTTTTTTAAAAAATAATTTTTATTTAATTATATAAAAAAATTTAAATGTTCACAATTTCAATATTAAAATTTAAATGTTTATTAGATACTGTAATAATCATGAACAAAGTAGGAAAAAAAACATTTACAAAGTTTTTTCCCCGCTAATTCAATATCCATACATGAAATGGGAAAAAAAATAAAACATTGTATTTTTTAAATTATTATCAGCATTAAATAAAAAATCAAATTGACTTAAAGTTGACAATTAAACCCCCGTATTCAAGCTTTAAAAATTAATGTTTTTTAAGAAATACCTTAGAGCAGCTAAATGAGAAGTCAAACGTTCTTTGCCTTTTATTTCTTCACTATTTGCATTCCAACGGAGGAGCTAAACAAATAGCCAAAATGACTATTTGTTTCCTTAACAGCCATTTCTACATTTAACTGTAGAAATGACCAAAATGATAGCTGGTGGCCAAAGGGCAAGTTTTTAAACA